CCTTCCTGACAAGTGGCATCGGCCAAGTTATTTCCCCCCTTTCCAAGTCTATTTTTAACAAGATTTTTGAGACAATTTTATGACATCAACATTGAACTACAGTTATTTTCAGAGTTAGAATCTCGAGTTTCTGTTGATGATTCATGGATTCCCAAAGCAGAAGCCTTACCAGTGACTGGGGGCAGGTATCAGTCATAATGAGAGTTAAGTAAATGGAGCTTTTTTGGTCACACTCCAGAGCAGGCATTGTTGGCAGAAGATGGTATGGCCTGAGACCACAGGGAAAGGGAGGCACTGCATCACCACCCATTCCATTTTACTCAGGATCTTTGCCCCCATGAGAGTTCCCTGGCACATACTAGAAGACAGGCCAATGGGACGAAAACCAGCTTTCCAAAGACAGAGAACGAAGTGTTTTCACATCCTGGGAGAAAGCGGGCCAACGCTCTTTTGACTACTCACCCAACTGGCCCAAGACTCTCAAAAGAACACTCCACAGAAAGCACTTCCTTAGAGATGAATGAATACCAGGCACAGACATCATGATCCCCTCCTCCTCTTCCCCCAAAATACTACTTTAGAGACAAAATATTGTTTCCCATGAGAGAGTAACAGGGATAAAAAGAAAGCATCTGAATGTCACTTTATCTCCACATGCACAGCTGAATGCCACTTGTGTGAAACACAATTCTAGGTACTTGAAGGGGAAGAGGGAACCCAGAGTGGACCAGGAAATAAATACAACAAAGGCAACCAAGGCTCCACCATCCCTGCTTCTAAAGATCCAATATTCTCAAATAGCCATGTTGGTGGTGGCACCTTCTGCAAATTATATACTTAAAGAAAGAAAAGGAAAACCCAAGGAAGTTAATTTTTTGGAAATGTAGACTTGGTCTATTTAAATCAACTGATTTTCCCTACACACGTTCATTTACTAGGTAAGACACCTAGGACTATGCATTGTTTGCAACCATCATGTAAGCTTTGCCTATGTACAGGATAGTCACATATCAAAACAAGCCTATGGATTTTTTTTTGTAAAAATTCTACAGGGATATTCCAATAGCAGTCTATTGCTACAGAGCTATCACCCCAAATATTGATGGCTTTAGAAAAGCAAAGGCCCCTTAGATCATTTTTTTTTCAGGCCAGGCAAAATCCAAGGAACAACTTCTCCAGGTAGTATAGGCTTGGGGTCTCTCCTGAGGCAACCAGAGTCTAGTAAGCTGAAGGCTTCCATGGGGCTCAGTGACCCAGCACACCAAGTCCTCTGCTGTAACTGTTGGGAGCCAGCCTCCGTGTCACTCTGTAGGGGCCTGTCTGCCTCCTGCCCCTTTCTAAAGAGAATGAGAGCTGCACCCACAATAGTTACTGTGAACAGATGGCGAGGAACTTAGACACGATTTCCCATTAGAGTGGCATTTCCAACATAAAAATTATTACATTTTTGGCCATAAATTGTTTTGTACATTTTTATAAAATATGTAAAAGCTAACATTTGAATAGCTGAGATAATTTAGATTTTTTTTTTAACATTGAGACCCTTGATTTTCCAGCAAAGGATGGCATGTTCCATGTAATTCTTAGTCGTTGGGTCTTTTTTTTTTTTTCTCAACTCCTGGTTTGTAGTGTGTAGGTCAAAACTGAGCGTAACTAGGCTTTGAACACTTAATTCAGTTTTATGCACAGGAATATAATACGAAGAGAATTCTAAAGTTCATGGATGGGGCAGGATTTGGGCATTCCGAGGTTAAAGCCACAACTGGCAACACTAGCATTCCATATGGGCCCTAGCTCAAGTCCTGGTAGCTCCACTTCTGACCATACTCCTTGCTAATGGGCTGGGAAAAGCTGTGGAAGATGACCCAAGTACTTGGGCTCCTGCCACTCATTTGGGAGGCCTGGATGAAGCTTCTAGAACCTGGCTTCTTCCTAGCTCAGCCCCGGTCTGGTGCTAAAAGTTGGAATCAGAAGTAGACCTGTAACTCAAACCCATGTACTCCTACAATGGGAGTCAGGCATCCCAGGCTGCCACACCAAATGCCTACACTTTACAGGAACTTCTTGAAGATGCCTTGTTTACATGGATTTCAAACATTTTTGTGCCAAAATAAATTCCACTTTTCATTTTTTTCCCCTGATTTTTGAAGTATCTCATACTTGCTTGCCCTCGAGACAGCCTAGCCATAAATGTGCTGTGAATGAGTCTGTTCTACTTCCCTTTGCAAGGGGGAAGCATGGCAGGCTGCCCTTGCCCCACCCTCTGAGCTGGGAGACCATGGGAAATTCAAGCAGCAATCCTTCTCAGAAAGCATGATCGTTTCAGATCTGCCCCTCTGTGCTTCTCACCGACTCACCCAGAGTGCCTCACTCTTGGGACAAAACTTGAGGACCCATTTAGGTTTCAGTGAAACAAAACCTGCTCTTAGCATTTGTCACCAACACTGCTCTGTGTGTGGAGGCAGTTAACCGCTGCATGAGAGTGATGGGTGCTGGGGCCCTCCCGCCTCAGTGAAGGCACAAAGTTGGGCTCCACAGCTCATTCGAAACTTGTGTCTTCACCCAGCCGGAAGCACCCATGCTGTGCCCTCTAATGTACACTTCAAATGTTTCGCTGTGCAGTTCCCATAACTGAAAACAATCATCTCTCACAATGCCTGAATTATCCACCCTTCTGCAGTTAAGTGGCTGGATCCTAGTAGCCAGGATTCTAGCCCATAACCCAAAAATACATTTTCCCTCACCGGGAAGTTTTTCTTTCTTTTTTTTTTTCCTCAGCAATTGCAAACATAATCTTGCTGAACAGAGCTGAATTTTTCAGGCTGAGTTGATGGCGCGGGTTCTGATGGCTTCATGTGAGTGCAGGTCTCTGAGGACCGAGGCCAATCCATGTGAAAGGGACAACAGTAGATTGGCATGCTTTTCCATTTCCACCAGGATGAAAAAACTGCTATAAATTAAGTCTAACCTTAAATGTATAATCTGTCCTTGGGAGGAAAAGAAAAGGGGGGAGGTATATAGCATCTTCAAGCTCTCAGCATCCCTTACGAGAAAAAAAAATTGGTTCTAAGGGTCTCTGATCTTGTGTTTTAGTAAAATAGAACTGCACGGCTGACTGACAGTTCTGATCTAAAGCATTTACGTTTAAGTTTTGATCTCTCTGCTTTTGATTAAAACTAATGAGCTCATTTAATTCAAAATGGGAATCTCTGATAAGAGAAATAAGGTTGATGTGATTGGATTAGAGGGGCAAATTAAACTCTTAGAGCAGAAGTTTGTGCTTATATAGTGTATTAAAAAGCTGTTGGCGTATTATGGCGTGTTAGATGATGAGAAAAATTTCATAGTAATTCATATTTAATCAGAAGAAATGAAAGTACTAAATATAACATGGCTCTGCTTTTCCCTCGAGTGATAAAAAGCTGTACATTTAAAATGACATCGGATCCAAGCTCTCTAAAATAAAATAATAAAAGACCCTAAGAGAGACACATGAGAAAGGGACAGTCGCCAGTGGCTCCATCACACCAGACTGAAAATGCCACAAATACAGTAAAATAGAGTCATGTCAAGAGAAGACTGCTCCGAGAAAAGCCCCAGACCACAGGGAGCAAAAGTACCTGTATTCTCATTCCTCTCCCGTTCGAGAATCAAATGTGGAATTACCCTTAGAAATATGTGAATTACATTTCATGACTTAAAATGTAACAGCTTGTTTTGCCAATTTTTCCCGTGTTTCACAGCTATCTTCACATATGCTTAATTCTGAAGTCTCTTTCTTGTATGTCTTCCTTCCCCTCTACTCTGGAGAAAATGGTGTGAGCATCAGGGTTAATTAGAAGAAATCCTGTGTGCTGTTGACCATACTGTTTTTAACTTCTGAGAAGGCAGGGACACGTGTATCCCATTTCAGGGTGCCTAGGTTTGTCCCCAGTCCCAGCTTCCTGCAAATGTGTATCATGGAAGGTAGCAGAGGACAGCCCATATATTTCGGTCCCTGCCATGCACATGGGAGATGTGTTTCTGGCTTGGACTCCCTCTGCCCAGTCTGGGCACATTGCATGTTTTGGGACATGGAGCAAGTAGATGGGAACTCTGTGCTGCTCAAATATCTTTATCTCCAGATTAATTTCTTTGCAGGAAAATAAGCTTACCTTTCAATAAAATAGGTTTATGCTATAGTCTGGTATGATTGCTTACATATATTTATAGGTTAGGCACAGACTATATGAAGCTTCCTAAGTGAGGACATTCTGCTTAGGCAATAAACATGAAAAGGCAAAGAAAGGATCATTATCCTAGAAGCAAAGGAGTGAACAAAACAGCAACTGTTTCCTATTTGGGTGGAAGGTGGAGGGAAGCTGTCTTTAGTGACAGAAATGGAAAGTTGACATCATATGTAGTTTTCATTTGGTTTCTGTCTGCACAGCCCATTCTCATCTCTTTGTTGAGTCATCGGAGTTATTGTGTGCCTGTTATTTTCTGCAATGACAGAAGCCTATTTGTAGGCCAAAGATAGGATGAGCACAGGGTACCCAACTTTGTAGGTCCTGAAATTCCCCAGCAGATAAAAGAAGAGATGGACAGGGAGGACAGAGCATGAGTTTTCCTTGGTCTTCATTAGAAGCACCTCTGCCTGTGCCTAGGTTGATCCTATGAGTCTAGGGGGTCCTTTGTTTTCAGGAAAGTTCTCTCTGCACAGACCAGTTATGCCTTAAAGTGACCTGAAGGTACTGACTAGTAGACCCCTCCTCTAGGAAACTTTCAGAAGTTGCAAGGTCTGAAAAGCTCTTGCAAAAACCCAGAAGAGACTTGCTTTAGATATATTAATTTTTCTTTTTTGTTTTCTGCAAAGCAAATCTTTTCTAAATGAGGTAAATTGATTGCTGTGCTCTTAGTGCCCATCAGTCATGTATTTTAGTGAACTCAAGGATTGCACCTGAGCAGTCTCTGTGAGGGCCTGTGCAAAACTCTAAGCCCCGTGTTTTTGTATTCCTCAGTGGAGTCCACCAGCCCCAGTCTGCTAACCACTGACAACACCCTTGAGCGTTCCTTTTTCATCCGAATGAAATCTACGCTGACCAAACGTGGCGTGCACATCAAATCATCAGGATACAAGGTAAGCTGGAACCCAGGGGGTGGGGGCATTTTCATTGAGTTGTTCATCTGCCTTGAGTCCACAGAATTAGCACTGATGACCTAGACTAAACCCCATAGGGTTTCCTGGTCATCTTTCTTCAAGTACTCCTGGGGCATTGGGTGTCCCCGTTGGAGTCTTATTTTGTAAAACTCTGGCTAATGGCACACCAAGTGCCTGGCTAATTAAAAGCCAATTCACTTTGACAGAGAAGGTGAGTCAAATTTGTGTCAGTCCTTATTATGACTGTTTTAGAGCTGTAATTCACACACTTCCTCCTTCCAGGTTTCCTCCTCCTTTGCGAGAAAGGCGATCAATTTTGTAGTAACATTTTGGCCACAGACATAGAAACCTTAATTATGAAATTGTAATTGTTGAGCATTCAGTCATTCTTTAGCATACCTCCACCGTGTTACCTACAGGGAAAAGGTTCCTCACAAAGACCAGTTCTGTGAGTATAATGCACATTATTGTAAATTTAAGGTTAAAAGATATAAAAGCCTTCTTTTTGATCTCAAGGAATTCCAACATTCTAGTCACTACAGCAACACAAATTAAGGCCCATGAAATGTATGCAATGCCTTCGGCAACGTGAATCTTCTCAGTTCTACAACATAGTAACCAGTCTCCCCAGCAATATTTATTATATATGGGAGGGCAACCAGAACCATAATGTTCCATGGCCAACACAGCGATTCCTCATGTGTGAGTTTAGAACCGCTGACAGCTCAATCCTTTAGGGTAAACATGGAGCTGTCAGGGTTGGCCACAGCTGTGCGCATCAGGCCGGAGAATCCTTACAGATGTCGTCAGAACACGAGCTGCCATAAAAAGATCAGAGTCAGGCACTCCCTGTGACATTCATCCCACAGTAAATGAAGGACGGAAGTGGGGACACAGGGCTGCCCAAGACCTTTAGCTGAGCTGTCCTATAGACTGAAAGGTGTCTGTGGAACACCCATACCCTGTCCTGAAGAGAGGTCTGGGGCAGTAGGGCAGTTCTACTACTGTGCCCTATGAAAACCCATGACAAAGGAGAAGGGAAAAGTTGGATGCTATCCTTCGGACAGTTTTGTGTTTCCCTGCACTGCTGAACATGATGTGTTGATTCCACTGGCTGTGTAGCATTTGCATTAGCTGTGCAGTTCTTGGAACAGACTGCACATGCTGAGATGACTGTTGCTTCAGTGCTAGGAAGACCTGTCTTTGCATTCCAGGTTTTAAGAGCCATGGGCTTCCTTCCCACTCCTACTTTACTGTCTCCTAGTGTTCTTCATCTTTCCTGGCTTTTACAATTTTGTAGGCAGTATATCCCGGGAAGGAGGAAGGTTGGAAGGGGTGGAATATAGTTTGGGAAAGCTTACGGTAATCCAATATTTTTAGACACTTGTAATTTTTTGAATAATAAAAATATTCTTTCAGCATACAAACTTGAGATCTAATCTCTAAAGTTTTGGATCTAAAAATAAGTGGGCATTATGGGTAAAAAGGAAATGATGAAAAAGAACAGAATTACAGTTTAGGTAGGAAATGAAATAGATTGGGTTGTTTGTTTTGCTCCATGAGCACCATAGGAGAGCTATTTTCACTGCATGACCTAAAATTAGGAAAGTTAGTACCCGAAATGCTAATAGTGTTCTCATTCCTTCATTCACTGATATTAATTGATCTTCTAGTATGGGATTTGTTCTAGATCTTAAAAGCCAGCATTGAATAACAGTACCAGTTTTCATGACACTTCTATTCTAAACAAAAAAGAGAGAGATTTCAACAAGTAAAAAGACTGGTTTCATGGGTAATGAAGGTAAAAATACCAACAGCTAACATATAGCCAACCATTTGCAATACAATGCATCTATCTACACAAGCTCCTGGAAAATAACATAAAAAAGTGGTGTATTAGTTCAAAAAATTTTTGCACCAAAGTAAACTTCTTTTTTGTTCTAAAACCTGAGGTGTTCTTGTAGGTTTAAAAGTATCATTCCTTGAGGACCAGCGAATTTCACCATCTTTTATGGTTGCCAGGTTGACCCTTGGCTGCAACACTTCTGATCCAGCTCCTTGCTAATGCACATGAAAAGGGAGCCAACGAGGGCCCCAGTGCTTGGGCCTCTGCCATCCACATGGGCTTTAGCCTGGCTTGGCCTTGGTCCTAGGGCAAAGTACTTTTGTTTTCTCCACTTTACACATGAAGAAACTAAGGCTGGAGAGTTAATTAAGACCCATCATCACATACTAAAGGAACAGAACTTGAGTTTGACTTTGGACATCTGACTCCACATTCCACCCACTTAACCACTAAGATATACTTCTCTGCAGCGTGAGATGATGTAATATGTGTATGTGGCTGATGTAGCAAGGGAATCCTCTTGGAAGAGGAAAAGCACAGCAGGTCTCAGTGAGGACGTGGCATGTTCCTGTGAATGAGAGGGGACTGTGCAAACAAGTGAAAGAAAACCACATCTGAATCAATTTGTTTTGGGGATTAACAAGACATATCCACTATAAGAGACTTTGAGAAATGAAATATTCAAAAATACAATCTTGAACATCAGAATTGGCAAAGATTGAGGGACTGTTACATATTCTATCACATCACATAATATTAAAGGAACCAGACCTTTTCGACAGGCCACCAGTATGTGGGTATTTCTCAAGATGCAATGCAAGTCTATACCTAGGGCCTTCTTCCTCTCCCAGAACTGCTGTCCTCAGAGCTGGATGCAGCCACTCTCCCCCAGTGAGATGAATACACCACGCTCTTCTCCCTTCCCCCTCCACCGCGGAACTTCCCTCATTAATTAACCCTGTCTGGAAGTTAGGAGAAGAGCTGATGAGAACCTACGATATGACACAGCTGAGTAACATCCCTATTTATCTTCTCATTCTCAATAAGTAAACCTAACAGCTAATAAAACATTCCAATAAAGCTGGTAATCGTCCTACCACCACACAATAAACACAAATAAAAAGAAACGGCAATGATAATTTCTCCGTACTCCCAATATTCTCCCAAATTTATTGCCCTTGTGTGCATCTTTCATTCCCCTTATTTAAAGATCTGAGATGTTAAGCCTTGCTCAGCACACGTCACTGCATTTCTTTCCATGTCTTCTGTAACCTCAGCACGTGGACCTGACTTTCTTTATCACGTAGTACCGACTTATCCAAATTGCAAGCATGATAACAAAGCTATCACTTATTGAACCCCGGCTCTAGAACAGAAATTATTTTATTTAGCCCCTATGAAGTACTTTGAAAATTCTTCTATTGCCCAGCATTGTCCCAAATTGACCTTGTCTTTTGCCCATTTTCAGGTGGTTCAACTGAGACTGTAAGTGTGATGCTTTCTCATGTTCATACAGTTTTTTAGGAGCTGGAACTGACTCCAGGCAGCTGAACTCCCAAGCACGACTTTAACCCTTCTAACCCTTCTGTTACACTATTTAAATATGGCTAAGTCCAAAGGACTCAGAGTGAACTGAACTTCAAACATATTTTTTTAAAAAGTCATTACTATACAGTGTTTCAGAGAGACCACTCTTGCCTGGTGAAGGTCTTTCCTTACCATACCCCACAGCACTAGTATATTGGGGCTTTGCAATTCTGACACCTGCCCAAGGAATAAATTATCATCCTTTCCAGTGCTGTCACACACATTCATGGACCCTCTACCAAGAATTCTAGCCAAAGAAGTGCACCTGCTAATTTAAGTAGAAGGGGTAATATAAGTTGTTACTGCTTGGTTTGCCACACTAAGTCCCCAGAAAAATCACCTTGTCTCCAGTGAAGTTACCCAACTCTGAGCTGTCATTCATTTCTTTTCTCATTTGCCTGGATATCCACAGTAGCATGTTATCTGGACCAGCCACTTTTTATGCCTGAGGGGCCTCCCTGTTGTTTAGGTCTCATTGTTGGTCACATATCTTAACATAACACAGCTCCCATTTAAATTGCATTGCATCTCGATATTCTGCCTTCTTGATTAGGTCTGTATCTGGGGGAACTTAGGAGGTATGGCACATGGGGTAAAAGAAGATATGTAATCAGGGAAATTAGAGAAGTGCAGACTAATTGGGTCTCTTCCTTAGCTAAGGTCTTTGGAGAATAATTTCCTCTGTCGTGGGACTTGCAGTTTTCTAATCCACTCTCAAGTGCTTACCAAACCCACTGTCATTTCCAGACTGTTTATCCACAGACCCTATGATGTCCTACCACTAATAGCACAAGAGAGCAAGCTAAAGTGGCGGGGGGGGGGGGTGGGGGGTGGGGAGGTTGATTCTGCCATGCATATATAACACCGAGAAAGTCTCCAAATCCTTCACAGAGTTGAAATCTTCAAATTTGGGGTGTTCTTATGTGGTTCATGCCAGCACAGTGTCACTAAGGGAGGGGAGAAGTGCTCAGATTCTGAAAAATAAACAGTCTCCCAAATGGGCTGCTTTATGTACATTGGTTTGCCTTTAAATGTTGAGCCAAATAACTTCTGCAAACTTTTGCAGCCTCCTTATGATACAGTTTGCCTCTCAGCTGCTAAGTCATGAGTGGTTTACATTTTCTTCCACCTTCTCCATCATTCTGTCTTGGAATTCCTAGCATCTGCAACCTAGCTACAGAAGGCTAATTGTCTTTCCTGAAAGATACCTGCATAGTTACCATGCTGTTTCCTCTTCTTAAGACACCATTTTATCATACTGCCAGTATTTTTTTTTTGCCACTAGAAATATTTGTTCATTGTGGAACCCTGCAAGTATTGCTGCTGTTATCGCTTCCCTGAATGCATGTAAACAAACTTATTCTTCTTTATGCCAACATACAATTTTTACATTTGCTCATGCTCTATGAAGCTGCTAATAGTTCATAACCTGAACAGTTTCCCATAGATTAAATGAAATATGCCTTGTTCTCTTCCTTATATGAGATACTTCATATACTTTCTCACATAAACCTTACATAATTCTTGTACATTATCTCAATTTTGA